AATTGAAAGATAACCTTAACAACGGTGTTGTTTGAATTGTGGTGAGAAAGAGCTGACGTCGGCTTTCCAACGTCGGTCTCGTTCAGAATGTAAAATCGACGGAAGGGCAGCGCCAGAGGCAGGCGTCGCTTGATATACGCGTAATATTCACCTCTAATCGTTCGTTACCTTGATTTGCTTTGGCATTAGCTGCTGCACGAAGCGTATTTCCTTCTTGGACAGGAGCGTTGGCACCGAATTCAGTGGGATATGCAGCTCGCCGACGACCGTCACATGGTGGAACTGTCGTCGACCGTGGTGACAAAGTCGGATTTCGACTGACTTCGTTTCGATATCTTCTGCGCCGATGTTGTTGAAGAAGAACTCCTCGTTGTATACTGCGTTCCTAGTCCGTTTGACCAACCTCGTGCCCTTCTGCTTTTGCAACTTGCCGGGCAAAAGGCACACTTTCACGAAGGTGTTCAACTGCTTGTCCGGCCGCAACCGACCGGCCAAGCCTTCAGCTTTGATCACGCATACGCGCAACCGTTTGCGAACCGAGAAGTACTGCAGCGAATACTCAAGATTTCCAAGCCCGGTCGGCTCAGTGGACCGGATATTTGGCCACGACCTACGGACCGGCTGTTGGCACAGAGAGCCGGTGCTCAGCTTATGGGCGACGATGTCTGGCACACTGTTAGAGGACATAGCGGCGCCGCGCAAGCTGCCCTCGTCCGTTGAGCTCCACTTGCGGTCACCACCGCCGGACGCGTTTTCAGTGTCGCTCGACGATTTTGTTTCCTTGTCATCACTGTCCACCGTCACTGTCGCTATGGTCATTGTTGTTGATGTGGCGGACATTGTCGCGGCAGCGGCCGCCGTCGCAGCTGCAGCCGCTGCCGCGGAGCTGCTGATCCAGCACCGTTTCAGACCGTCGCTCAGAGTACCTTGCCAGTCAACTGACAGCGGACCGCTACTTTGTCCAGAAATGTCATAAGCAGTGGTAGCAGTGACCCCGGCTCCTACCTGCTTAGCGACGGTTGAGTGAGATGACGGATCGCAGATGCTGTTGCGACGCAGCTCGATGCCGCTCGGCACACTCAGTCCATTGACGCCAACCGACGACCGCTGATCGCCGCCGGAACCAATGCCCGGACTAGAACCTGACCCGGTGATGGAGCTTAAGCCTGAGCTGGTCGACGTCACTGCACTGTGTTTCCTGTTCAATGCCATGGAGGCTGGAGTCGGTGGCAACTTTCGACCCTTGTTCAGTATCACGTTGGCCACCCGGAGTGGCCTCGGTCCAATCGCCGACTGCTCTCTGACGTGGCCATCGATTTCAGACTGCGTGTGCTCGTAAGTGGTCGTCGTAGGAGACGGAGACGGAAACGGAAACGGAAATGAAAGCGACGCTTTCCCCTCGCCGCACTCAGCCGTCCTGTCGTGCCTGTGCTGTCTTTGCCCGGCAACCGTCGTAGCCGCTGTTTCTTTG